AGGCTAAAGGAGGTCCAACATTATAGGGTAATATAGTGGCTATATTTGGATAATGGAAAAGATAATGGGAAACTATTATATTCGGCTATATAGGGTTTAGGGATTGTTTTTTTTTCGGTTTATAGTCACCCTTAAGTAGATAGAATATGGTTTTGGGTATATTATAATGAGATCCCCATATACCCCATACTCTATCTACTTCAGGGGGACTATAGGGTTTAGGGTTTGTATTCCTGGTTGCTAGTAGGGAACGAAGGAGTGGAAAAGCAAAATGGATTTGTTGTATTGTTGTCCAGTAAGTTGTGACTAGAATGATGAGCTTCCCAAGCAACCCCCCTCTACCATTAAGAGGTAGGGTAACTTCATCCCACTAGACGTGCTGCAGCCTTTACGTGTAGTCGTTGCTGTATGACTTTGTGCTGTGTGCTTTGTGCGAATAGAGACCTTGACGCGTCAATGACTTTTGAGGGATGTTTTTCTTTTCTGGCGACATTGAGCAAAAGATTCTTCTCACTTTGTTAGATCTGTCCGAGCCCCCCGAGCCCCGAAGCTGCAGCACGATGCTCATTTTGGCATTATACAATCTCAGGGACGTGAGAGCCATACTCCAGCTATAGAGTTGCATCGTACAACGACCCCAAATATTAAAGAGCCTCCTGACATTCCAGAAGCTAGCGACCCCAACAATGGATCCTTAGTTTCTGGAAGCCCCCCATATCAGTGATCAGGATAAATGCTAGAGGGTGCGGCATTTTGGATCATCCTTAACTGCTATGTTGTCTTGCTGCAGGAAAGAAGCCTTGCAGTACGGGCACTTTTGCAAACAAATTGTGGATTTGATATGTTATCTCGGATGCTGGCGACTATAGTAATGGTCGCCACAAAGTCCTTGACATCAGGAATCTATAAGCTATTCCAGTAAAATTCCTATATCTTCTTTGGTTGCCCCTTGCTTAGAGTCTTAGACCCCTGGAATCCCTAAACCTTAAACCCTGAACCCTGACACAGCACCTGATTTTGTGATTTAATTCTGTTCCGGATTGCAGGCTTTTGGCTTCCTTTTATCTCGCGCAGAGGCGCCGAGCAGACCCCTGAACCATCTGCTAGCTTCAAGGAATCTATAGAGGTTTCCAAGAACAGGGACTATGGGATTGGGTATAGAGTGTTTAGGGGCGAACATGAAATTGACCTGGAAACTGGAGGGACTATAGGGTTTCAAGAAATTGGGGCTACCTCTTAGGGCATCCCTATAAGGCTTAGTAAGGATTCCTGTATTTGGTGTCCATCTATTGGGGTCCTCTAATTATGGAAACTACCCTGCAGGATGTAGGGGTATTTCTGCATCTTTCGGAAAAGAAGATCAATAATGGGATGGGAAGTGGGATGCTATCGTGGTTCGTAGGGTTTATCGCTCCCAAAGTTAGGGCCTTTTTGGTAGGTCCCTTGATTGTATCTTAGGATTGGGACCCTTTGCAGTCTTCGTTTTGAACCCTAACTCCTAAACCCTGGAGATCAATGGGCATCTAGGGCGATGGACAGGGTTGACCGGGCTTCTTTGGAATCCTCATGTGTACAAACTAAGGACGTCGAATGGTCCAGAGGGCGACAACTACAACTGGAGGGTTGAGGGCTGTATTGAGAGTTTCAGTGAGGGTCCTGCATGCTGAACTGTTGATCACGGTGATGGGCAGCTACTCGGCACTCAACACCGCAGTCAGTGTAGCTACATATGCGCATCATGGTGTTGGTCGTAAGTGCCCACCTGATCCTTGGCTTGGTGATGGGCCTCCTTCAAGGGGTTGACCCATCGAATCGCTCACATGATGCGGGACGTTCCCCGCAGAGTATTTCCATGAACACCTTCGATCCAGATGAAGAGTGTACTGGACGTTACCTATGTCGAGCGCCTGCATCCGCCCCACAATATGTGCATCGATGTGCACGGGTTGCATGGCAAAAGCCCGAACCTTCAGGCAAGTAAACAGGAAGCTGGGAAGTTGAGCACCAAACCCTTCTTGAAGAACATGCTAGACCTGGGCGAGCATCAATGCCGACTACCATATGATGATGAAGGCCTCTCCTTGATGGAAAGGCGCACAGCCAGACGCACCTCCAGAGATGCAGATGTGGCAAACACATGGAGACGGGATGACTTGAGGCGAAGGCCGAGGGAATCGCAGAATCGGGGACACAGAGAAGCCAACTCAGATGGTCGCAGAAACAGTGAGAGCGCAAACTCCTCCAGACCGCATATGACGCAGCCTCCTTCCACTACGCCCCCACCTACCTGCACTACATGTGTTCGAAGACTTGGACGACCTCCGGCAAGGGAACCCTTTTAGCATGATGGATGGTGTCCTGTTATGACGAGGGCGACGGCTTATGGATTTTGAAAATAAACCACTACCCCAAGGAGTCCAGGATGGATATGGCATTTCCCCCAGTACGTCCTGAACACCACTGAGGCAACCCTGTCGGACATGCCGCCCATGGACTTCAGCCGTACGGTCTTGGCACTCCAGGCTGCCTTTGTCATCATGTATGCCGAAATTGGGGATATCATCGTCGACGGCATTATCGACAGGGGTGAAAGAGAGAGCAGGGATGACACCAGTTCGTTGATGCAGACTGGTATGACTGGGGCAAGTGGTGATGGAAAGCAAGGGGGCAACGAAGATGAAGACAGGCCGCCATGGAGGCCTCGCAAATGCCCCAAAAACAACAGAAGAAGATTTATGCGACGGAGAAGGTCGCTGGATAATGACCTGGCGGAGTTCGCTGCATTAGCAGGGCCAGGGCATAACCAGGCCGTCCACAACACAAAGTTCATCGTCAACCAAATCCGCCACATGTTCCAGCAGAGGGCGGACTACAACAATTGCACAGGTCTAACTAGAGAAGAAAGTGACAGGATGAGTGCGGCTATGGCGGCACGTGGCGACAAGGGAGCACTGCTTATGTTGGCAGGTACACTGGAAATGCTGGCGTTCCTCATCCTAGATTTGCGGTCCGTTGTCGATATCAACATCCTCACGGACGTGAATAGCCAGCGAACAACGAGACGCAGAAGGGTTGATCATCGGGGAGGAGGGCGAGGAAGTCGAGACGGACAAGATGATGAACAGTGCCTCATGCAAATGCCGAAGGCCAAGGACATGAAGGTGGTCGACAGCATTCAAAATGAAGAGATCAAGGAGAATGAGGCGCAGGACATCGTGCGGGAAATGACTCCAGACTGAGGAACAGCTAAAGCAGGACAGGGTGCCATGGGCATGCGGAATTCCAGAAGTAAGGTACCAGCACAGTCGCAGCAGAGATCTTGGGAAAGCTGGCGGATGAAATAGAATCCAAGCAGAAAGAGGCCAAGCAGACAGCAATTGCCATTTGGAAAAGAGTCAGAAGTTCAAGCTGCAAGTGGGCGGGGAAGCGCCGACAACGAGTCGAACTTCTCCAACTTTCCCAGCACCAGAACACGGAGAATGATGAGGTGATGGTCATGCAGACGACCAAGCCGGCAACTGCCGAGGTGAACACCCAACATGAGGCAGAGGAAAATGAGCTCCATGCACCAGCCATCACCATAGGCATTCGCGTTGCTGAAGTCTGGTGGTTCCAAAGGCTGGAAACGGCTCTCACGCGAGAAAGAAAAGGTGGACACATCGGAGTCCACATCTGCCAACTGCAATACCTTGCTCAACAAGTACGCTTGGAAGGAGTCAGCATGATTGACAGGACAGAAGCTTTGGAGGCAATGCTCATTGCCAGCTCAGACGAGCCGACCGCTGAAGCCCGAGATCACGCGGACACCTTTTTCCTAGCGTAGACGGAGAGAATTAGGGCTTTCTTGTGGACGAGCATGCGCATGGGCCGCATGGGCAACGATGGAGGCGGACCTGATGACTGACTTCGTATGCAAGCTCGCGAGGGTGCCATGATGGAGGCCATGAGGCGTGAGGCCGACCAGGAAGCGGCTGCTGCATTGGCCAGGCGAGCCAAGGACGAAGCGCTCGCCCAAGCCATGAGAGAATCACATGAATGCGATGATCATCCGAGAGGGTCGTCTACTGAGGGGGTTGCCAGATGTAGTTCGGAAGTGAAGGGTGACAGGGGCCACAAAAGGGTTAAGAGGACTCAACCTCCCGTGTCAGTACGCGGAGCGGCTGCTGAAGCCGTAAGAAGCGGCACAGCTGTAACCGTTCGGGTTCTCCTCCACAGGGACGTCGAAGACAAGGCAGTCCAAACAGACTGATCCCATGGAAAGCTTCCAAGAAAGGGCATGAGACCCCTTGCGCTCAGCCGCAGACGTAAAGTCCGAGGGGTTAAAAAAACCTACACCCTAAGTCCTATAACCCTAAATTCTAAACTCTGAATCATGGCAATTGAATCCCTACCAGGGACTTGCATCTGTCATTGCATCTGAAGTTCTCGTCCTCCTTAAGTAGATAGAATATAACTTTGGGTATAATAAGATCCCCATATACCCCATATTCTATCTATTAAGGGGGACTATATGCTAACATTGATTGTTCTGACTTACTGATCATGACCTCCTCGTCCTGTGAATGCGGCTAGGCAGTCATCCCTTAAGCCCCAAGCCCTAAACAACAGGGGTTATACAGGGATTATATAGCGGTTAAATAGACTTATACGGGGATAATGGAAAAGAAAATGGAAACTACAATTTAGGGTTCAAGGTTTAGGGCATCAAGTTAGAGATGTTTTCCTTGGTGATGGGTTGAAGAGCCTTGAGGATTTCAGTTTTCATCGCCTCAAACTGCTTAGGTGCTAGGAGTTGCATTGCCAAAAAACAAGACCCTGATGGACCCACCTTCCGCTGACAACAGATGCTTTTGATTGGTCTTTGGCGCTGTATGCGGAACAGGCAGCAGGTGTCATCGTTACGATAGGATGTTTACATTACGTGCAAAGGTCTATTGCTTGCATGTGCGGGAAGTCTTCAAGAAAGGGAGAGATGACAACGCTGTATACATCTCGTGACACAGTTGCATTCCATCGCTGCTCCAACAAAGTGTTGTGCAAACTGCTATGCCCTGAGCACTGCGCTGGGAATTCCCAAATGGCAGTGTTTAGCAAACCAGCAAAGCTGAACATAGGTACCCGATTGCAATTGGGGTCCTTGCGTTGATTACCCTTCGTTGGGGTTACTAGGGCCCCCCATAGCGGGTACCTAGGCCTTAATGAAAGGTAGTTGGAGGGTCTATGCTTGTAGAAGCCGTCGTGCAGGCGAACTCGTCGCGAGAGCTGACGCAAACACAAAGCTCTTAGCCCAGACGCCTTGTTGGGGGTCCGCAGGTCCACAACAGAAGGACCATAGTGTGTTAGGGTCTATGATAAGCTTCCCGCATGGCGAATGTTCCGGAAGTGGAGGATTTTCTGGGCGCCGTGGGGTAGCACTGGACAGCTTCACGAGATCCTACTCTAGCCATCCCTGTCTCATCGTCAACGTTGTTTATGAACAGGTGCCAGCCCCTTGCAAGCTGCCTCAAACGCCACACCACGTTGGGGTTTTGATTGGCGGGGGGTAGACTTTCCCAGGTTAACCACCCTCCACCCTGAATTTACGCCCAGTTCCATCAGCCGAGCAGGAGTGTGGATTCCCTCTCAAAAACTGAATTGTTGGTCATTTAGGAGGCCCAAAGCAACAGGTCCTGTTCTTTGGGTGCACGTAAAGAGAACCCCTGAGAAGATCAGCATAACTGGAGTCAAGGATTAGTTGCTCAGGAATTGAGATTTGGGGTTTCTGTTTGGGCCTTGGGCCCCCTGGCACCAAGCCTGCCTGTATTGGTACTTGTTTGAGATTTGGACGCTAAGCCGCGGCGGATACTCTTGGAGCAAAGAGACCAATTGACGTCACTAAGGTGACGACGACACCCCGAGACTGCTTGGAGCTTTCAGAAGCACCTGGGGATTTTTAGGACCGGCAAGCATGTTGTCTTGCTGGTGGTTAGTAGCGAATACAGGCATACAATTCCTACTTAATCCCTATATAGCATATTCCCCCATTCCCTACTAACCACCAGTAAGTTGTTCAGTTTGAGCGGTAGACTTCCCTGCT